TGAATTTTTTAAATCTAAGTCGGGCAGTTTGAATCAGTAAAGTTTGAACAACGGATCAACATCATGGCACACGGGTAGTAACCCATAAGTGCTCGTCTTAGTCTAAAGAAGCTCAGCACAGTGGACAGGCTCTGTAGCACCGGCGAGGATCCTGAAATACTTTGGGTGGAATTTTAACTTCAAATTTTTGCCCTGGCAGCGCCGTTAGGCTACTTTTTTTTTTTCTGACTGCCAAGGGATTTTTTTAGATGCTCAACAATGCACACGGGCGTCCGATCTCACTACCCAGAGACCAGGGGAAATTACTAGAAGTCCAAGTCCATGTGAAAAAAATCCCAGCCCTTACCAGGGATTGAACTCGGAACCTCTAGCGCTCGAGGCGGACACCATACCTAGAGACCACGCAGCTCCCTTGTAATCAGTAATCTAAATATACAAACTGAGAAGAAACATTGCATTGTATTATCCAGTGGCCCCCTGGTGGGTTCCGGGACCCCATTATGGGGAAAACAAGAATAGACCCACTGAGAGTCCACTAATTGGGGAGGCTTCCGTCGAAGTCAGAGTGCATCTGCCTGAGAGACAAGGAACCAACAGTCTGCATACATATAAATCAGATCGGTCAAACGGATGTACTCGCAACACCCAGGTTTGGAATAAGACTCAAGTTCAGAGATGGATGAAAAACCAGAACTTTCCGCCAGAGTTGAAACGGGTGAACGCAAAGAAGATTATCCAGTGGTAAACCTAAGAAAAGTTATATTACCTAGTGCTAGTTCAGATAAGAGAGATATCGCTAAGTCCAGCTTCGGGTAAGGGATTATAAGTCCAGCTTCAGATAACGGATGTATTAGTCCAGTTTAAGATAATGGATGTATCAGTCCAGTTTAAGATAATGGATGTATCAGTCCAGTTTAAGATAATGGATGTATCAGTCTAGTTTAAGATAATGGATGTATGAGTCCAGTTTAAGATAATGGATGTATCAGTCCAGTTTAAGAAAATGGATGTATCAGTCCAGTTTAAGATAATGGATGTATGTCCAGCTTCAGATAATGGATGTATCAGTCCAGTTTAAGATAATGGATGTATCAGTCCAGCTTTAGATAACAGATGTATCAGTCCAGTTTAAGATAATGGATGTATCAGTCCAGTTTAAGATAATGGATGTATCAGTTCAGTTTAAGATAATGGATGTATCACTCAGCCAAAGTAAAGATCCTTTTCATGCCTGTAGGCGCATCGGGCATATGGGAAGAGCATCCCATATTTTTACAGACCATCAGCACTCTGTGGGTAATGTGGTCAGCATTACACCAGCCGTCTCTACTTTCCTAGGACAGCCATCCTGGTACTCATTTTAGGCTTGGTCGACCTGCGACGCTCCATAATATGATAAAAATCCACGCAGTCAGCAGTGGGTTTCGATCGCGTTACGCTGAAATTACGAGTTGGACTCGCAACGCCTAAGCTACAGACACTGCTATCACTCTGTCCAGCTTCAGGTAAAGGATGTATCACTCAGTCCAGCCTGAGGTAAGGATGTATCACTCAGTCCAGCTTCAGATAAAGGATGGATCACTTAGACCATCTTCAGATAAAGGATGTATCACTTAGACCAGCTTCAGATAAAGGATGGATCACTTAGACCAGCTTCAGATAAAGGATGTATCACTTAGACCAGCTTCAGATAAAGGATGTATCACTTAGACCAGCTTCAGATAAAGGATGTATCACTTAGACCACTTCAGGTAAAGGATGTAGCACTCAGTCCAGCTTCAGGTAAAGGATGTATCACTCTGTCCAGCTTCAGATAAAGGATGTATCACTTAGACCATCTTTAGATAAAGGATGTATCACTTAGACCAGCTTCAGATAAAGGATGTATCACTTAGACCAGCTTCAGGTAAAGGATGTATCACTTAGACCAGCTTCAGATAAAGGATGTAGCACTCAGTCCAGCTTCAGGTAAAGGATGTATCACTCTGTCCAGCTTCAGGTAAAGGATGTATCACTCTGACCAGCTTCAGGTAAAGGATGTATCACTCTGTCCAGCTTCAGGTAAAAGATGTATCACTCTAACCAGCTTTAGGTAAAGGATGTATCACTGTCCAGCTTCAGGTAAAGGATGTATCACTCTGACCAGCTTCAGGTAAAGGATGTATCACTCTGACCAGCTTCAGATAAAGGATGTATCACTCAGTCCAGTCTGAGGTAAAAGATGTATCACTCAGTCTAGCTTCAAATAAAAGATGTAATCTGAATTTGTGTCTATATTCTTGAAAACATTTCAAACACATTACAGCCTGTATTTGCCACTATTTAAGGGGATGGGGATAGAGGGGATGATCTTGGGTCTGAGGTTTTCGGCTTGCCTGGCTACTAGAGTCACCAACGGCGAGAGCAACATTAATGACGAGCGATGTCGCGGCAGCTTCCACATAATTTGTCCACTAATCTGTTGACATCCATGACTCCCTCTATCTGTTAGAACTGGCTAACGAAAGATTAAACACGACTCATACCATCCATCAGAACTGGCTTAATTAAGATTATCCACGACTCATACCATCCATCAGAACTGGCTCAAGAAAGATCCACGACTCATTCCATCCATCAGAATTGGCTCAAGAAAGATTATCCACGACTCATACCATCCATCAGAACTGGCTCAATAAAGATTATCCACGACTCATTCCATCCATCAGGACTGGCTCAAGAAAGATTATCCACGACTCATTCCATCCATCAGAACTGGCTCAAGAAAGATTATCCACGACTCATACCATCCATCAGAACTGGCCCAATAAAGATTATCCACAACTCATTAGATCCATTAGAACTAGCTCAATAAAGATTATCCACAACTCATACCATCCATCAGAACTGGCTCAAAAAAGATTATCCACAACTCATTCCATCCATTAGAACTAGCTCAATAAAAATTATCCATGACTCATTCCATACATCATAACTGGCTCAATAAAGATTATCCACAACTCATTCCATACATCATAACTGGCTCAATAAAGATTATCCACAACTCATTCCATACATCAGAACTGGCTCAAGAAAGATTATCCACGACTCATTCCATACATCAGAACTGGCTCTATAAGGCTAGTAAGAGCCAATTTTCTCACCTCGGTTGACAAAAATGTATATGTTGGAGTGTATTTATCATGTGACACCCCAGTTTTGCTTGGACACACAGAAAAAGTCTGGGATTCAAATCCAGATCAATACTGGCCGTTACTTTTTTCCAGTGGAAATCATATCAGGACCATTAAAAAACAAGGCAAACATTTCTAGAGGCCTCAGAAATGTAGTTTTAGAGAAAAATCCGTGGAATTCCTTTGACAGTCTGACATCATGGCATGGAAGATCTGTGTCAGAGTTGACTGAAATTACACAAGACGGAAGGTTGTGGATAGACACGACTACCAACACTTCACGACATGGACATAAAGAAGAAGAGGAAGGCCTGAATACAACAGAAACATCAGAAAGAGAGACTGTCATCATTGTGTGGTCACGTTATAGATTCTGCAACATATTATGACCACTGGAAAGATCTGTGGAAAAAGATACTGAGGAAGCAAATGTGAGATGATTCTTGACAGCCCTTCGTCATGACATGGAAGGGTGTCAGCACACAAAGCTATACATGCTGTGGAAGATTGCAGATTGTGGAGAGACATAATCACCCATGCCACTCGACAATGTGAGACGATTCTTGACAGCCCTTTGTCATGACATAGAGGGGTGTCAACACACAAAGGGATTCATGTTGTGGAAGATTGCAGGTTGTGGAGAGACATAATCACCCATGCCACTCGGCAATGTGAGACGATTCTTGACAGCCCTTTGTCATGACATAGAGGGGTGTCAACACACAAAGTGATACATGGTGTGTAAGATTGCAGGTTGTGGAGAGACATAATCGCCCATGCCACTCGGCAATGCATGTGGTGATGATGATGATGAAAACAAACACTACAGACACAAAATATGATTCCAGTTTATTATAAGTTCAAACAGAGACAAAGTGCAAACAGTGCCAACATACAAGCTGAAACAACTATATAACACTCTATCCAAACATTCAACAAACTACTTACTACATGTCTTTACAACAACTAACATTAATCCCCTCAGGAATCAGTAAATCCAACTTGCTTCTATGAGCAGATTCATCAAAAAGCAAAAAAACATCACTCTAAAATAATAATCCTATTCCTGGGATGTTAAGAACAAATAACTTCTAGGGTTCTACAAAAATAATAGTAATAACCCTAGGGTGTGAATAATAACCGTCCCTCTCTCATCAGTTTAATGTCATTATCTCACCTCCATGATATCAAATACCTGATACTGCTGATATTTCAAACTATGCATATGAGAAGTATCTTCTTTCTCTTCACATGCTCTATATTCGATCTTCTAGCCACGTTTAAATATTTGGACAAAATCCAAAACTGTTAATCTTCCACAAACTGTCAGTATGTTAAAGTGCACTACACACTTAACTTCTGATGTACATTTTAATATACCAAATGATGGTTTAAAATAATGACTCTATACTTTCATGGTTAAAAGAAAGCATTCTCCCAGTTCGAAAGTTTGAAATCTCTTAACAATGTTCTTCAGTGTCAAAAATGTTAGTACCATTTCAAGATTTTAAAAAAAAAATTTTTTAAACTTTCTGACTCAAATATTTTCAAACATGAATCGTCACATGGTTCTTCACTGTCAAAAATGTGTCTTCCTATTTCAAGATAAAAATGATGTTCCAAACAAACACAAATATTTTTAAATGTGAATCATGGAGGTTCTTCAATGTTTAGAACACACTGGAGCGCAGCATCAGGATTCGGGGTGGTAATCATACTCCTTGTCTTACACGCAATAATGAGAACAGCAATCTCCTAACGTTTAGTGGGTGATCTATGCCATTTGTCTGTCCTGCCAACTCAAGTCCCATGTTTGCAGGCAAAGACTCAATCAGAATCTTCTCCATGCTTGTCTTTCTTGTGCAGGCGTTCTATTTTCTTCTTGTGATGCTCGATCGCTGCCTGAAATCAGAATGAAAAGAGAATTACTTCTCTTGAAAAAAAATATTTGTTATTCACTGAATATAAAACAGTGGAAATCACAATAGACCACTAAACAATGTTTTCCGGGATATTCTTTCATAACATTGCACAAAGTGTGTGTGTGTGTGTGCAAACTGTTGTGTCTGAAATAGTACAAAAATCAAACACAAAAAGTGAACCAGACAAACAAAACATAACTTAATCAAGTTAACCTAGGGGGTTTAGCATCAAAGGCTCAAGGGAAATGTAAAATCAGCGCATCTTGCATTAATTGGACTTTTAGATAGGAACCTATGATGCGTTCCTTGGGACTTGAAGAGTTAATTATTAGTTAGATCAATTTTTTTTTAGTGAAAAGATGTTGTACTGATTGGCTTCCGGTCAATATGGAGGATAGATAGGATTACTGTTTTTAGTCATGGCAGGTCTCTGCTTCTGATATTTGTTGGCCATTGCATTTTCCTCTATATATGATCAAGTTCTGTTGTCCAACTTCTGAACTGAGTGAAAGGATCAAGTTCCGTCGTCCAACTTCTGAACTGAGTGAAAGGATCAAGTTCCGTCGTCCAACTTCTGAACTGAGTGAAAGGATAAAATTCCATAGTCCAACTTCTGAACTGAGTGAAAGAATCAAGTTTCGTCGTCCAACTTCTGAACTGAGTGAAAGGATAAAGTTCCGTCGTCCAACTACTGAACTCAGTGAAAGGATCAAGTTCCGCCATCCAACTTCTGAACTGAGTGAAAGGATCAAGTTCCGTCGTCCAACTACTGAACTGAGTGAAAGGATCAAGTTCCGTCGTCCAACTACTGAACTGAGTGAAAGGATCAAGTTCCGTCGTCCAACTTCTGAACTGAGTGAAAGGATCAAGTTCTGTCGTCCAACTTCTGAACTGAGTGAAAGGATCAAGTTCTGTTCCTGTCTGAACTGAGTCCAACTCAAGTTCTGAACTTCTGAACTGAGTGAAAGGATCAAGTTCCGTCGTCCAACTTCTGAACTGAGTGAAAGGATCAAGTTCCGTCGTCCAACTTCTGAACTGAGTGAAAGGATCAAGTTCTGTCGTCCAACTTCTGAACTGAGTGAAAGGATCAAGTTCTGTCGTCCAACTTCTGAACTGAGTGAAAGGATCAAGTTCCGTCGTCCAACTTCTGAACTGAGTGAAAGGATCAAGTTCCGTCGTCCAACTTCTGAACTGAGTGAAAGGATCAAGTTCTGTCGTCCAACTTCTGAACTGAGTGAAAGGATCAAGTTCTGTCGTCCAACTTCTGAACTGAGTGAAAGGATTAAGTTCTGTCGTCCAACTTCTGAACTGAGTGAAAGGATCAAGTTCTGTCGTCCAACTTCTGAACTGAGTGAAAGGATCAAGTTCTGTCGTCCAACTTCTGAACTGAGTGAAAGGATCAAGTTCTGTCGTCCAACTTCTGAACTGAGTGAAAGGATCAAGTTCCGTCGTCCAACTTCTGAACTGAGTGAAAGGATCAAGTTCTGTCGTCCAACTTCTGAACTGAGTGAAAGGATCAAGTTCCGTTTTCTAACTAATGAACCGAGTGCATGATGCTGTGAGCTGTGAATTTCATGTGGAATGCTTTTAGACTGTGCCCAACATAGTATGTGTTGTGAACTGTAGATTCAAGAAAATGGGGCGAATCGCCACAGAACTAGTGGTGCCTTTTGTGATTAATGGTGTGTGAAACTACTATTTGTTGTCAACTGCTGCTCCCATCAATGACAAACTGCATTTCTGGTGTCGGACTGTTTTGTGTTGGCAATTCTGACGGCTGCCTTATGCATTTAATGCGTGTGATTTGCTGAGACTGCAGTCTGCGTCAATTTTTCTCACACGGGACAGTGATTGAAAATATGTGTGGTTTTCGTTGGCATAGGAACAAAACAACTATGGGGTAACCCGTTTGTTGTGAAGTTGAAACTGTGACGACCTGATTGCAGATCAACTTACCAAATGCTGTTTAATCTGTAACTCGTGATGGCTCACTTCATCTTCCAGCAACTCTTTCAGTCTTTCAAACTGCTCCTTTTGCTGGTGAGAAGAGAATTATCAATTCTTCATTAAAATTGCATAACAGAAGCTAGCAACATCTTTTATTTAATCAATTAATTATTAATTCATCCCTGGTTTATATGATATGACATTGATACAAGCATTGTAATCATCATTGTAAGTTTCACTGTGAAAGTAAAACATAAATATTCTGGAATATACTCTACTGAACTCCTTTATTGCCATCTACTGATTCATGTTTTTTATTTGGCTTTGCCAAGATTGTTTCAGTTAATTTTTTTCTCCACAAGGAACAGTGATGGGCATTCTGTATGCTTTTCATTGGCACAGGAGTGGAGCAATAATGGACTGATTCATTTGAAACTACAATTAACAGCATGTTTTTTTTTAAACCTGTGTTAAGACTCCCACACAAGCATTTTTTTTTAAAATTATAATCCTCGCATCATGATGATACGTCTAAGTAATCAAGGTTCAACATCATTTAATCATCAGGTCCAGACCACACATGTAATCGTATTCCAGTTATGTCAATCAGCCAGACATATATTTCATCACAGAACTGTTTAAGTCTTTCTGTACCAGGAACTCATACGTTCATCCTTCACTCATTGAATGATGTACACCAGGAAGGACTAACCCGGTCAACAAATGCCCGCAGAAGTCGGATGTGTTGGCCGAAAGGTGCAAATATCCCAGCCATGCTGTAAACGGACACAACACAATTACATCTTCGGATGAACGCAGAAGAAGAAGAAGAAAACGATGTACATTTCCTATTTTTTTTCTCTCAGATTTTTCTGTTATGTTAACCTTATGACATCTTCTTCTTCTTCTTCTTCACTTCCTCTTTTACTGCTGTGGGTGTCGAGGGAGATATAAGGTTCTGTTTCTAGCTCTTCTGGCCGCCTCGACCATAGGCACATAGTGCTGTTGTAGAGTTTCTCTGATGTTATCCTTCCATCTTGTTCTTGGTCTACCTCGTGCTCTACGTCCTTCTCTTTCCATGTATGCTTTGTATGGTATGGTGCCACAAGGCATTCTCTCTAAGTGGGCAATCTTATGACATCAAGAAAATATTTTAATTCTGTCAAATGTTATAACTCCCTGAGAAGCCACTATTTTGCCTTTATTTCTTTGGCTAGTCCTCAGCAAGCCCAGTTAATGACACTGGCTCCATTTCCACCTGTGCAGGTATGATCATATTTACTAAAAATTGCATCTGGGGAATTTTATCCTGAAAAAAAAAAGATCATTTTTTTAGTCAGTCATTTTAGTCATAATTCCTATTAGGTAGTCACACAGCAATGAGGTCACTGCATAATATGAGACATTTTAAGCCCAAGGAAATGTAATGAATCCAATTATCTGCTCTGTTCGTGTTTACTAATTATACACCTTCATATATTTATTTTAACATACACTAATACATATATAAATTATTTTATATATTAATTTATTAGTGACGTGTAAAACTTTTTTGTAAGGATGGGGGGGGGGGGGAGGGGAGGAGTGATTCCCAGAGTCATGGCTCGTCCCCGAAGGGTGTCTTGAGTGAAAGAGATAACTATATATATATTTCAAATATTACTGTAATACCTTCTGTTTCCAAAGTTATGTTTTTCAGTTCTAGGAGACTAAAAATGTTGTTCTAGGATACAAAAAAAAACCTAGGACTGACAAAAACAGTTAGTACACACAATAATATAATGCAGTCATGAATACACACCAACTGACGAAAATACTGTTCCTCTTTTGCAACTTCCATTTTAGCAAAGGCACCACCAGCTTCTCTGAAAATAGGCAGTGTGTCAAGAATTAGTCTGACTAGTCTATTTTGTGTTGTCAGAGTTTGTAGGGGAAGTCTACTGTGTGTTGTCAAGGTTTGTAGGGGAAGTCTACTGTGTGTTGTCAGGGTTTGTAGGGGAAGTCTACTGTGTGTTGTCAAGGTTTGTAGGGGAAGTCTACTGTGTGTTGTCAGGGTTTGTAGGGGAAGTCTACTGTGTGTTGTCAGGGTTTGTAGGGGAAGTCTACTGTGTTGTCAGGGTTTGTAGGGGAAGTCTACTGTGTGTTGTCAGGGTTTGTAGGGGAAGTCTACTGTGTGTTGTCAGGGTTTGTAGGGGAAGTCTACTGTGTGTTGTCAGGGTTTGTAGGGGAAGTCTACTGTGTGTTGTCAGGGTTTGTAGGGGAAGTCTACTGTGTGTTGTCAGGGTTTGTAGGGGAAGTCTACTGTGAGTTGTCAAGGTTTGTAGGGGAAGTCTACTGTGTGTTATTAGGGTTTATAGGGGAAGTCTACTGTGTGTTGTCAGGGTTTGTAGGGGAAGTCTACTGTGAGTTGTCAAGGTTTGTAGGGGAAGTCTACTGTGTGTTATTAGGGTTTGTAGGGGAAGTCTACTGTGTGTTGTCGGGGTTTGTAGGGGAAGTCTACTGTGAGTTGTCAAGGTTTGTAGGGGAAGTCTACTGTGTGTTGTCAGGGTCTGTAGGGGAAGTCTACTGTGTATTGTCAGGGTTTGTAGGGGAAGTCTACTGTGTGTTGTCAGAGTTTGTAGGGGAAGTCTACTGTGTGTTGTTCAGGGTTTGTAGGGAAAGTCTACTGTGTGGTGTGAGGGTTTGTAGGGGAAGTCTACTGTGTGTTGTCAGGGTTTGTAGGGGAAGTCTACTGTGTGTTGTCAGGGTTTGTAGCGGAAGTCTACTGTGTGTTATCAGGGTGTATAGGGGAAGTCTACTGTGTGTTATTTGGGTTTGTAGGGGAAGTCTACTGTGTGTTGTCAGGGTTTGTAGGGGAAGTCTACTGTGTGTTGTCAGGGTTTGTAGGGAAAGTCTACTGTGAGTTGTCAAGGTTTGTAGTGGAAGTCTACTGTGTGTTGTCAGGGTCTGTAGGGGAAGTCTACTGTGTGTTATTAGGGTTTGTAGGGGAAGTCTACTGTGTGTTGTCAGGGTTTGTAGGGGAAGTCTACTGTGTGTTGTCAGGTTTTGTAGGGAAAGTCTACTGTGAGTTGTCAAGGTTTGTAGTGGAAGTCTACTGTGTGTTGTTAGGGTTTGTAGGGAAAGTCTACTGTGTGTTGTCAGGGTTTGTAGGGAAAGTCTACTGTGTGTTGCAAGGGTTTGTAGGGAAAGTCTACTGTGAGTTGTCAAGGTTTGTAGTGGAAGTCTACTGTGTGTTGTCAGGGTTTGTAGGGAAAGTCTACTGTGAGTTGCCAAGGTTTGTAGTGGAAGTCTACTGTGTGTTGTCAAGGTTTGTAGGGGAAGTCTACTGTGTGTTGTCAGGGTTTGTAGGGAAAGTCTACTGTGTGTTGCAGGGTTTGTAGGGAAAGTCTACTGTGAGTTGTCAAGGTTTGTAGTGGAAGTCTACTGTGTGTTGTCAGGGTTTGTAGGGAAAGTCTACTGTGAGTTGCCAAGGTTTGTAGTGGAAGTCTACTGTGTGTTGTCAAGGTTTGTAGGGGAAGTCTACTGTGTGTTGTCAGGGTTTGTAGGGGAAATAAAGAACAAACATGCTTATCAGACATGTCAGAACTGATACTGAACATGTTCCTCTTCTTCATGTTCACTGGCTGTAAACTCTAGTGGAAAGTTTTGGTTGTTCATCCACTTCTAGACTTCAGTCACGTACTTCTTCTTTGCGTTCACCAGCTGTAAACTCTGGTGGAAGGTTTTGGTTGTTTTTCCACTTCTGGACTGCAGTCCTATTCCAGAACCTGAGTGTTAGTGTTGCATGCGCATCCGTTTGACAGATCTAACACATTTGTGTGCAGACTGTCGGTTCCTTGCTTCTCAGGCAGAAGCACTTCCGACTTCGAAGGAAGCTCCCAATAAGTCAACTCATATGACATGCTTTTGGATAGGCAGTGGGCCTATTCTTGTTTTCCCTATAATAGGGCCCCGGAACCCACACGGGACAGTCATGTTCCAGAACTGGAGTTTTGTGTGCCCATCCATTTGTACAGATCTGGCTTATTTGTAAGCAGATGTTGGTTCCTCCCCTTTCAGGCAGATGTACTCCAGACTTTAAAGGAATCAGTTGATTTTAATGATTTTATGACATGGTAGTCAGGGGGAAGTGCATCTATTCTTTTCCCCTAAAAATAGGGCCCTGGCAACCACATGGAAAGATACTGTTTATAATTTGTAATAAATTGTATAAAATATTGTAATAATTGATTTAGAATGCCTCAAGATATCAAATGAATGGGAGATAAAGAGTAAAGAAATATGAACCACAGAAAAACAAGCCAATGAGTCTTCTGGTACTGAGAGAGTTAAAACCTCACAATTAAAATGTCATCTGGTAACAGATTTATGATTGAATATATAAAGAAGCAATGTCGCTACTCTTGGGAAAAGCCTGTTTAAGTGCTGACGCTCCCCCAGCAGAAGTCAAACGATACTACTTCTTCTTCGTGTTCACCTGCTGTAAACTCTGATGGACAGTTCTGGTTGTTCATCCACTTCTGGACTGCAGTCCTGTTTCCATAACCTGAGTGTTGCGTATGCATCCATTTGACAGATCTGACATTTGTGTGCAGACTGTTGGTTCCTTACATCTCCGGCAGATGCACTCTGGACTTCGGAGAAAGCTCCCAATTAGTCAACTAAACGTTGAGAGATACTCACATGTACAGTCAATTTGTGACCAGTTCTATCCCATGTACCCCACTTTAACAGCCCTAATCAACAAAAGTATGTATCAAGGTGTATCAATGCACCAGTTGGCCTATTCTCTCTATCATCATGTAGTAGCTCCTCTGCAGACCACCGTTCTCATCATGTCAGAAAGCCACACTGAACTTTGCAATCTCATTTGAGGCTGGAATACAGGTCAAAATGGTAAAACTTTTTTTTTTTTTTTTTTTGCACTCCAATGGTCGTGGATTTGTTTCATGGGCTGAATATTTTGGTTTAAGAGTCCAATTTTTAACGGAGATTCCTGGGAGTTGTCGCTGGAAATACGAAGTTCATGTTTTGTGCGACACTTTTAACAGGCAGTTAGCCATTCAGCCGAAACAGAGCCTTAAGGGATAACATCTTGTGCGATACAATTAATCCTCTCAACTTTAAACATATCCTGAGAACTTCCCTGGTGTCCTTGACAACCTGTGTCCATTTTCATGCTGGTTGACCTAAGCCTCTACTTCTAGGAGCCAATCCCACAATCGTTCTTTTAACACAACATTCTTTTAAAACCTGTTTAGTGATTACTTACCGAATGGAACCAATGCCACCTCCTCCCTGAAAAGATTAAATAGACATTTCAATAATTTACTCTGCATTTCTTTAAATTTTCTACAGCAGCAGATACTGACATATACCAACAGCAATAATCTAAGATACACAGTGAATCGAATCCTCAATAGGAAAAAGGTGATAGTAAAGTGATAACAAATCAATTTCCCACACACATATACTGCTAAAGCAATGAACAAGTAAACAATAGAAAGTTGTAAATGATTCAATTTAACATTTGTAATGCTGTAAAAGTGGGAGCGGCTGTGGTGTAGTGGCTAGACACTTGCCTGCGGATCTGAAGGTTGCGAATTCAAATGACCTTAGCCTTAAATGGGTACCAGGTTATGAGTCCTGGGAAGGGAAGGTGGTCGGGGTGATGCTGACTACATCACCCCCCAAGTGTCAACTGGTCTATGAAACACAGGTCTGGCCCCCGTACACCCGAAGGCGTGGAAAAATGACCTTTAATAATGTTAAAGTAATGAACAAGGAAAATGACAGCAAGTTTTAAACTCCAACTGGGCAGTTTAAAAATATGAATGCACAACTCTAACTTTCTTTGGTTTTTGTAAGCGCGTTTTTAATAAAGAGTTTGTGATTTTTTTTATTTTTTAAATTTGTCCTGGGAAGCAGCTAAAAGCAATATAGAGTTTTTATATTCTTTACCACGTTACTAACATCTGTCTATTATTTTAGTTCTAGTCACATTAAGAGACCCAACAATGAGAGTGACCTCCTTTCGCATTGATCCCTTGATCTACTGTAGGGGTGCATCCTAGGTCGCAGGACTTTAGAGGCTGCATAGAGTCATGAGACATAGGCTGAGGAGTAGGGGGGGTTGGTGTTAGGTCCAATTGTACATGTTTTGGGACCCTTAACAGCGGTCACAGCATAGAAGACGCAATATCACCGGCTGCTGACAACAAGGAGTAAAATACAACTCACTGCGCCTGAAACCCCTCTGTACCATAGTACAGGTGCTACACCAGATCATGGCATCAATGGGAAGGGAGGTCACTCTCACTGTTGGGTCACTTATTGCAAGATGTACCATTATTTAATGTTATAATAATTCATAGGGCTTTTACAATGAATCTAACAAATTGTAAATAACAATCTGGTGTAAGCAATTCTACCTGTTACAAAATAAGTTTTTAAAATCTGGCAATACAAACCTTTCCAACACCATCCCCCAACTGTCCTCCACTCATTGCTCTTGCACTGGGGAATTGAAAAATATCAACAACTATTAGACAATTTCCAATTATATGCAAAGTACAGTCGAGTCCGCTTAAGTCAACTTGGATAAGTCGAATTTCTGTTAAGTCGACATGACCAGCTGAGTCCCGGCAATTTTCTCTATTGTGTGTGCTGTCTGGATAAGTAGAAGTCCTGATAAGTGGAAGCATTTTCTTAAGTCCCTGCGACTTCTACTTATCCAGACTCGACTGTATATACAAAACACGTGAGTCACAGACTTCTCCTACTCAATCACTAAAGAAACAAATGTAGCTTCTGAAATGAAATGCTGGAGAAAAAATCTTAGAATACCATGGAACAAGAAGGAAAACATGCACATCATTCAAAAACAGAGCATTGAGGAAACTGGCTCAAACAGCATTTTATCTCCAAAGCTGAGGTACAATGGCCATGTTAAACATTATGCTGACTGCAGACAAAAGGTATAATTTCCGGAAAACACAGCAGAGGCAGACCTCCCTAATTGTGGATTACGCTAAAGATGCACTGGCTTTAAAAGCACATAGGGCTGTAGAATTACCTAGAGAAAGAGAGATCTTCAGGCATGCCATAGCGACAGCAACATTTTGTAAAGGAGCTACTGACTGAAAATGCTGCATCTGTTGCTTAAGGGTTTTGAATGCAGTTTCCCAATCCTGTCATAACAAAAGGTCTGGGCGTGAAGCTGAGGCAAATAGAGAAAAACTATTGTGATAATACCTGGCTCCCCTTCGTGGTGTGACATGTTCATGGCAACTTATCTTAAATAAAATTAATAAAACATCGTTTCCATTGTCATTGCTTATATCAGAGTGGGACATGCACTGGGTCAAACAGCAGTTACTTTTTTCCCAAATGCCACAGAGAGTCACACTGAAGAAATGTAATGAGCACAGAGAACAAGGAAAATGGTGAGAAAGATGGACTAACAGTACCAGCATATTTTTTTTTAAAGCTGCCAGAACTCACACCAAAAAGTGTCTATCACACCAAAAAGTGTCTATCACACCAAAAAGTGTCTATCACACCAAAAAGTGTCTATCACACCAAAAAGTGTCTATCACACCAAAAAGTGTCTATCATAGTTGCACTGAAGTAAAAAAAAAAAATCACTCAAACTAAAAGGTGGTGGTACTGCCTACTGAAAAACAATACAAAGCTCTTCACATCATCAAGAATAATTGTAGAAAACTTAAATCCAACTTAAACAATGAATTAGTAGAAAACTTGTAGAAAACTTAAATCCAACTTAAACAATGAATTAGTAGAAAACTTGTAGAAAACTTAAATCCAACTTAAACAATGAATTAGTAGAAAACTTGTAGAAAACTTAAATCCAACTTAAACAATGAATTAGTAGAAAACTTGTAGAAAACTTAAATCCAACTTAAACAATGAATTAGTAGAAAACTTGTAGAAAACTTAAATCCAACTTAAACAATGAATTAGTAGAAAACTTGTAGAAAACTTAAATCCAACTTAAACAATGAATTAGTAGAAAACTTGTAGAAAACTTAAATCCAACTTAAACAATGAATTAGTAGAAAACTTGTAGAAAACTTAAATCCAACTTAAACAATGAATTAGTAGAAAACTTGTAGAAAACTTAAATCCAACTTAAACAATGAATTAGTAGAAAACTTAAATCCAACTTAAACAATGAATTAGTAGAAAACTTGTAGAAAACTTAAATCCAACTTAAACAATGAATTAGTAGAAAACTTGTAGAAAACTTAAATCCAACTTAAACAATGAATTTGTAGAAAACTTGTAGAAAACTTAAATCCAACTTAAACAATGAATTAGTAGAAAACTTGTAGAAAACTTAAATCCAACTTAAACAATGAATTTGTAGAAAACTTGTAGAAAACTTAAATCCAACTTAAACAATGAATTAGTAGAAAACTTGTAGAAAACTTAAATCCAACTTAAACAATGAATTAGTAGAAAACTTGTAGAAAACTTAGAATGATTTTAACTCTTTGAGGCTCAAGCAACGCTGATGAGTCTGACACAGAGAATGTTCTACTGCTACAGTATTTAGTGTGTAAGAGAAGGAAAGTGCTCCAAACAAATAGACAGTACCATAATATGGCTAAGCTGTATTGAAATCATTGCAGCTACAGTCTGTTTGTAACTGTACAAAGTAAACAGGGCTATCCTCCGACTAACGGTCGGTAAAGATGGCGGCCGCAAAATATCCTTTTGAGCCACAGTCACGTGACTTAACTGCGCACGCTGCTGCTCGTGGGTCCTAGCCATCTAGTTTAGCCCCATTCCACGCCGTTCATGCGGCCGCCATCTTTACCGACCGTTCATCGGAGGATAGCCGTAAACAGTAAACAGATTATATGTAATGGTCCATTTTTCCTCTACTATTTTGTTGGGCATTCTGTGAGAATTTAGGGCCTCTGAATGCTCAACTAACCCAGAAACTTATTTCTTCGAGTCCCAGGAAACGCATCACACGCTAATTTGTTTTAACCTAGCAGCCCAATCGACGCGTGACAAGTGAAGGTTTTTAATCTACAGCTGACCGGTTCTAAAACACGGACCGTTCAATTTCAACTTCCTTCCGAGTTCTTTGTGTCTGATATAAAGCGTGCTCATTTATAAACGTGGATTGAAAGTCGAAAATATAGTATATTTGCAAGATTCCCGATTTACTAAGTGTTTGTTTGAAAAGAATATGGCCGATAAGCACTATTCTATGTGCATGCCAACGTGATTTACGGCCTTAGAAGCCTAAAATTTAAATAAAGTATGTGTTTTTTTTTATTTATCCGAAGTTAGATAGATAACGTTTGCGAATTAGGTGTGTTTAAATCATTTATAGAGTCAAACTTTGATGAGGGATATGTCTAATATGTACCTCACGTGAAGGGTACAAAGATAACAAAGTCAGCTGGCACAATTAGAATAAACATTAGTGAAAAGATGATTTTCTTCAGTGTCAGTTAGTTCTAGTGCAAATTCCCTAATTATTTAGGAACAAAGCTACAAAATTACAGGCAAATTGAGTGTTATATAAATTTCATTTTGCGTGAAGATATTTATTGTTTTGGGAGTCAGTTTTCTTTACCAAATAATAGTGCTCTGTTATGATGCTTCAAAAGATTCTCTGGAACAAAATCTAATGTATAGATTGAGTTTATATTTTACTTATACATTACTAAGTGGTTCATATTCATTTTTGATTCATTTTGTATACATTTTAACCAGTTTTTCTTGAGTGCCATGGTGGTAAGTGGAACTTTTTTTTATTTCATTTTACTAACGCAATTATTTGTTGTAGCTCTATGCTATAATTATTCCTCAACAACTCCTGGTCACTTTGATGTATAATATGTGTATGTTGCGTGGTAACTGAATTATTATGGTCTGTTTTAATGGCTTACACTTGCAAAATATAAAAAATTGCATTACCAACCCTGAAGCCTCTGATGCTAAGCCCCCTGGGACTCAGAGTTATAACTTTGGAATTTATTAGGAAACTGAACAAATTTTAAAGTGTTATTCTCAAATTTGGATATTCACTGATCTTGTGGCTGCAAAATGATGGTAAGTGAAGAATGTTTGTGTAAAATTTTGTCTTTGTCAACTTAACACATACTTACTTTATCTTTTCTACTAATTATAACAGTGTCAAACATTTACATAACATATTCAAATTGTACATTCATTCCTCTTTACAAAAATGTAAACTTTTGTAGGGATTAGAAACATATTAAACTCTCTATTGCCCTTTATTGGACACCACACTCTCTGCCATTTTTGTGAAGGGAAATTAAAGCGAGATAGGTCTTGCAAAATGCATGGGCCTAAAAGAGTTAAGCAGGGGGTTAGAAGGTGCACATGACAATCTTTACATCTCCTCCAATACCTGGCTCGGTTAACTGGAAAAAGATCAGAAGCAGAAGACCGAAGCAAAAAATTGAACGACCAACACATAGGCCTCGGCTCTCCTAGCAGATTTGGCCGGCAAGTAGGTCGGCTTCGGTCGGCGTAGTGGGAGTTCTTTCCCTTGGCCGCAATCACAACAACGAGCGGAAAACGTCACGACTCAAACACGACAGTGAAGTCGACATCAGGGCTGCCAATGCTTGGTTGTGTCCCCCAGATCTGGGTTTTTCTTTTGACGCTGCGGGAAAATCTGGGGGGTTTTTTCTTCTGTGTGTCTGTCTGTAGGTGTTTTGCCGATCTGTAAGCTTTAATGACCGATAAATTTGCGTGGTTAGGGGTTGGGTTAGGGTTAGCGGTAGGATTAGGCGCAACCGTATGATGATAGGTAACCCTAGACGCAACCGTATGCAACCCTACACGCACCCGGATGATGATAGGTAAGTATGTCATTTGATTCATGACTTTTTCCGATCGTTGTTGTGAGTGCAGCCAAGGGACAGAACTCCCACTACGCCGACCGAAGCCGACCTACTTGCCGGCCAAATCTGCTAGGAGAGCCTAGGCCTCTACTCTAGCTTGACCCTATAGTCACACTTTGTCCTTACAAACAATACATCTCCCCCCAACATTTCTGATGTAACGGGAAATATTAGAAGAGGGAAAAAAACTTGTCTGTCTTTGACTATCTACAAATATGTGCTACATCTTCCAGATTCGAAATGGAGTAAAGCAAGGATGTGTTCTGGCTCCCACGCTGTTTGGCATCTTTTTTACCGCATTATTGAGGCGTGCATTTGGGACAGCAACTGAGGGGATATACCTCCGTTCGAGGTCAGATGGCAATCTTTTTAATCTGTCCAGGCTACGTGCAAGGACGAAGGTGCACACGAGATGCCTCAGGGATTTTCTGTTTGCGGATGATGCAGCCATTGTGGCACATTCAGAGGATGATCTGCAGATCCTGATGAATCGCTTTGCAGATGCTTGCAAAGAATTTGGGCTTACCATCAGTCTGAACAAAACACAAGTGATGGGATTGAATGTTGGAAATCCACCAAACATTAATGTGTATGACCATCAGCTGCTGGCTGTAAATGAGTTTGAGTACCTAGGCTCACGTATCTCAAGCAATCATTCTCTGGATGCAGAACTAAACAAACGTATAGGAAAGGCCTCTGCTATGTTTGCAAATCTCACAAAGAGAGTCTGGTCAAACAAAAAGCTAACTGATAATACAAAAATGAAGGTTTGTGAGTCTTGTGTCCTGAGCACATTACTGTACGGCTGTGAATCTTGGACTCTCTATGCTCCACAGGAAAAAAGACTGAATACCTTCCATATGCGCTGTCTGAGACGCATCCTTGGTATATTGTGGCGAGACCTTGTCTCCAACGAATGTGTGCTGACAAGAGCAAAAATACCATCAATGTACTGTATACTGAAGCAAAGACGTCTGCGCTGGCTGGGACATGTCTCCCGCATGGAGGATGGTCGTATTCCAAAAGATCTCCTATATGGTGAATTGGTAACTGGGAATAGACCTACAGGAAGGCCAAAGCTGCGCTATAAAGATGTATGCAAACGTGACCTAATAGATACCAACATAGGCACAGAGACATGGGAAAAATCAGCTGCAGATCGACTACTATGGAGACAGAAAGTGAAAGATGGACTGTCACATTTTGAAAGAAACCGAACACAACGAGCTGTGGAGAGGAGGCACCGGAGAGTAAAACTGCCTCAAAACGAGGGAGTATCTGCTTTTGTGTGTATCCTGTGTGGCAAAGACTGCCATTCCCGCATCGGACTTTACAGTCACAGCAGATGCTGTTCCCAAAGCCAGCGGCACATCTCCATAGTCCCCCGGGACTGACGGATGCCATTATTATAGTGCCATTATGCTACATCTCAATTAATTTGATAACCTGTATACAAAATATATGGATACATAAAACATAACAACGCTCCAACGTAACCTGAACCTCCTTCTAATTTAAACAAAAGCCATCAGACATTAAAAACGTATAGAAAAAATTAAACACGTCAGTGGGGAAAAAAGCGCATCTAACAAAAAATGCACAGTAACCACTATCATTCATTATAGCAAATAACAGTCATTGTAACGAGGAATAAAAATGAAGGCAGTACCAAATAATCCTGGAAGATTGCAGACTACGAAGTATCACTGGAAGTCTAGCAGCCATGTTGAAATATACCAAGGTCGGTGAGGTTAGCCAGGCTTCTTCTACGTCTCAGCTGTTTTATACCTGGTGGTCTGCCCTTGGCGGCCCAGGGCTGCCCAAGTTGGTACTTTCATACACATTTAGTACTGTTTGACCTGTGCATTGCAACACTACTTTTGGTACCAGGCCCCGTGTTTCGGTACGTTTTTAAAAATTCTGCCATTGTGTTGAACTTTTTTTTTTTTAAGGTTAGTTTGAGTTGTACTTAAAATAATTACGAATCCAATCTTCTTCTTCTTCATCTTCACTTCATCTTTTACCGCTGTGGGTGTCGAGGGAGATATAAGGTTCTGTTTCTAGCTTTCTGGCCGCCTCGACCATAGGCACATCGTGCTGTTGTAGAGTTTAATGTTATCCTTCCATATTGTTCTTGGTCTACCCCGTGCTCTACGCCCTTCTTCTCTTTCCATGTATGCTTTGTATGGTATGGTGTCACAAGGCATTCTCTCTAAGTGGGCAAACCATTTCACTTGCTGTCTTTGTATGTAATCCAGAATTGGTTCTGTGCCGACTTGTTCTCTTATGATCTCATTCCTGATCTTATCTCTTATGGTCACTCCTACAGCCCTTCTCCGATATCTCATTTCCGTGGTTACTAATTTTCTTTTATGGTTTGTTGTGAGTGACCATGCCTGGCACTGGTAGCACAGAGTTGGAATAAATATGCTTTGAATAAGATGTCTCTTTGTGCTGATTGGGATTGTCTTATGCTGTAAGAGGGGGACTAGCTGTCCCAATACTTGGTTTGCTTTACTGCATCTAATGTCAATTTCTTTATCCAATTTCCCATCTTCGGTAAATGTAGTTCCCAGATATTTAAAAAACTCAGATGCCTGTTTAATGTCTTTGTGTATTCTATTGCTATGTTTAGATCTGTCTTCTTTTTTCTATTGACATTACTTCTGACTTTTCAGTGTTGATTCTCACATTATTTGTTTTACATTCCTCATGCATGGATGTTAGATGTTGTTGCAATTTC